TAGATTAAGACAACCTCTCCAGCCTCATTCCTCAGTACACCTCCCATCCCAGAGGGACCCGGGTTACCCTGGCTACTCCCATCAAAATTCAGCTTCAAAGAACCAAGAGGGGGGACCCAGCTAGTCACTGCCCTTCCCTTGTAGGAGGAACAGCTTGCTACCAACTTCCCTTTTCTCAAGTTTTCTTCCTTCTTCCTCTCAAAACTCTTCAAAGGCTTTCCTGGTGAATGCCTCACCTCCCCAGAAAAACAAGCCCAAGCTTTTACCCATTTCTACATCCTTTTTATCCGCTGCCTCAATAGAAATACTTCCAGATTTCCCCCCAGAAGAAACAAACCAAAATCATAAGATCTTTTTTCATTTTTGGAAAAAGGTAAGGTAATTTTATTCAAACCAAACTCACATACAGACTGAAATCAGACCCAGGAAGGCAGTCTGAGAACAGCCAAAATTACAAGCTCCACCAGGAGTGAGACTGAAATAAAAAAGACAAATTCAGACTTCTGAACTCAGTAACAGAAACCCAAGAAATCAACTTGCCCACTGCTCTCTGTATTACTTCTTCAGGGATTTTAGCTCTATTACAAAAAATTCTACTATTCCTTTCTGCCCAAATGGACCACAAGACAGCAGCAGGAATGGTCCTCCACACCAATTTCCCTTTCTTACTTAGGCCTTTTATTTTCCAGCTGCAGAGAAGCTCCTTAACTGTCCTAGGCATAATCCAACTGATATCCATGAATTTGAGAAAGTGCACACACACCTGAGAGGAGAACAGACAGTGAAGACACAAATGATCTGTAGATTCTGTAAGGGACCCACAAAGACCACATGATAAGTCCAAAATTCGAATGCCCCACCTCACAAGATTAGATCTGGAAAGGCATTTGTCAAGGGCCATCGTCCATACCAGAAAATTGGATTTTGATGGGCTTGTAGGATTCCAGATCTGTGTAGCTGGGAAATCAGTGGGGCCCGTGCTGCATAATTTGGAAGCAAGTGATTTGACAGAAAATTCACCATCTGGGTTCCATTTCCAGCACCATTTGTCTTCCAAGAACAGGTTTATCTTCTGCTTCTGAAGAAGAGCCATCAGCTCCATAATCTCTTCCAACTCCCAATCAAATAGATTTCTCCTAAAGAGGGGGGTCCAAGTAACAGAATCTCCAGACAAACAGAAGCACTCAGCCATAGATTCATCTTGATTAGAAGCACACTGAAAAAGGAAAGGGAAGGAATCAGCTAGAGGGCCATCCAAGCACCAAGAGTCCTTCCAAAACTTTGTTCTATCCCCTTTACCATTCTTTACTGAAATCCCTTTCAAGAAAATAGAGAAATTCTTCATGATACCTTTCCAAAGGGAGTTGCCCCAGTTTGGAGAAAGCTCCCTAGTTCTCCAGTTGCCCCACTCCACCCCATATTTATCAGCCATAAGGGATCTCCACCAAGCATTCCTCTCAGCCGAGAACCTCCAAATCCACTTACACAGGAGGGCAGAATTAAAGCTCTTCAACTTCCTTATTCCTAAACCACCTTCAGCCTTAGGAAGACAAACTTGGTCCCGATTGACTAGGTGAATTCTTTTCTCCTCTTCCCAACATCTCCAAAGAAAATTCCTCTGAAGCTGCTCCAATCTTTTTGCTACTTAGTTTGGGATGGGGAAAAGGGAATGGAAGTAAGTCGGCAAATTGGAAAGGGTACTTTTTATCAAGATCACCCTACCCCCAAAAGAGAGGTATCTTGCCTTCCAAGATGCTAGTTTCCTCTCCAAAGAAAATCATAAGATCATTTTACTCCTCAAGATCACTCTTTGGGCTTCAAAAAGTTGTCCAAATGTCGCCAAAAGAAAATCCCATGATATGACTGCCTGGATTTATTTGCAGGATAAGGTCTTTTAAGATGTAACAATTTGATCAAAGGATGCTTAAGTCCAAACATTCCAATGTCACATTGAATATTGCATTCTAATGGATGGCAAAATTGACCAAAGATTCAGCTGATAACTGGCCTAAAAATGATGATGGGATATTGGATTTTTTTCTTTCTTTGTAGGGGTTAAAAAGCCAGGAATTGAATTTGTTCTTTGGGACATTTCTTCCTTTGCTACCTGTGCTTGTTTGTTTATTCTGTTGTTTTCAGATTCTGGTATCCTTGTTGCCTTACCTTTCTTTGGGATCAGTACCAACTTTGTTCCTCTTATTCTTAATATAATTTCTTTTCATAGATCAAGAAAGAAACAGAAAACACATAGGATCTTTATACTGGCATGAAGCTATAGATTTAGGGAAAGGTTCTCTAGCATGATAAATAGCATACAATTGTGGATCAAGCATCAAGAAATCTGAATGCTTGATAAAACTTAAAAATTTAACATATTTCTCAACTCATGTAGAAATGACCAGTCTTTCACCTTCACTTTCTGGGCATAGACCATGCTATTTGGAATATTAATTCAAAAGTCCCCAATATGGATTATGGGTTCATAAAACGGCAGATCAAACCTAGGTTGGGAACAGACAAGGTTAAATGGATTATCTGCTCTACCAGTTTCTGGGCTAGATGGGTCTAAATTGGGAATCAATCAAGTTCAAAACTTTAGAACATAAAGTGTCTTCAGTTCAGGTTACAACATTCCAGTGAATCATTTACTCAAACCTCCCAATAACAATATCTAAACCCAACTCATTGTCATTCCTAATCCAACCATTTTGCAAGCAAACCACTTATGTCATAGTTAGGAAGAATAGACGACTTCTGAATGCCCTGACTTAAATATGTATCCCTTACTCTACAATTATAAGTGGATTTCAAATAAACAAAAGATGATTAAACACAATGCAGGTAAAGAGGCCCAAAGAGGCTTACAGTCATGATATCACCCGCATACATTGCCAAGGGATCATTTTTCTTTTCACCTACAAGTCAGGAAAAAAAAATTGCCACAGCATCATAAAAGATAAGAATATACTGCAAAAGCAAGCATTGGAAATGATATACCTATCTTATATGCAACTGATGGTGCTGCAGGCGAAATTAGGATGTCATTTTCATCCAATGCTGTCTTGAAACTTTTCTGAACTAATGTCCTGACCTAAAACACTATTACAATCATAAGTTCTTCTTAAATAGGAAAAGAAGACCAAAAAAACTGTTAAGTTTGATATAACTTGAACTGTTTTATTGAAATGATTCCACATTTTCCCCATTACATGCCATGCAGCAAAATTGTCAAGGCAACACCTAGGCGATAAGGTACTTTTGGAGGGTCACCTCACCCAAACACCTACATATTTATATGTAAGACACCCATAATAATGGTATATTTTTATTTTATGTTATTAATAGTAGGACAATAGATATGTTTTTGATAAATAGTAGAACAATAGATATTATCAGACTAAATTATTCATAGTGTGGGTTTATGGTATTAATATTATTATTCTTATACTAGTTTCTTTGTATTGTTTTCTTATTTGTTTGGTTCAATCAACACACAAGTCGATGACATAGTCTCTAACCCTTATAGACTTTAAAACCTGAATTGATAAGTAAGAAATAACTTCAAGATTTATCCATAACACACATGAATAATCAATAGGACTTCTTTTTCTTCCTAGAATCAAAACCAGGGCTCATCCCTTATGTTTTGTATGTTTTATTCCTATATTATTTTTCTTCTCATAAATATGTTAATTTTCTATCTTTTTTATATGGGATTTATACTTATTTGAGGAGGATTATGGCAATAATTAGTTAAATATTACTGCTTATTACTATGAAACCCAGGGACCTATCCTAGGATTTATATTTTTTTATTTGAAAAAACTCATTGCCTAGGCAACAAGGCACTACCCCATCGCCTGGCTTCACCTTGGTGCCTTGAAAACTATGCCATGCAGTGCATAAATTGAAGATGAAATTGCTTCTAAAACAACATTATTAGAATGAAAATTTTATTGCTTATGGCAGCATTGCACCACGATATTAAGAGATCCATGGTGTTCAAACCCATGCGAAAAAAGCCAATGAGAAGCTGAGCTACACTCATCAGAAGAAAAGAAAATGGATAAATTGTCATGTAAATAAAGATATTTATCATAATATTTGAGGTACCTGCTGGGCACGCTTGTAATATGCATCATAATAACCAGCAGAAAGAGCATACGTCCCCATTAAGATTCTCATTTTAACCTGTGCCAATTATGCATAGCAGTTATTTTGCTTAAACTGATAGAAATCATGTTGAGCATTCCAGTCAAGCCAGAAAAACTTTCACATGACAATCTAAAATTTGATAATTCACATCCATCAAAACCGGAGAATCACAAAACCAATTATGGATACCTCAGGACCAAAACCATTAGCTCGAGAATCTCCATAAAGAGAATTAAGTTCATCAGATGCAACTTGGTTTCCATACCTGCACATATATGCCATAACTTTAGAAGTTAATGGAGATGAGAAACTCAAGGAGGAGATGGTGTTTAATGAAGATTGGAGGGAGTGGATTTGATTTTGTAAGAACAGAGAAATGAAGGTTACTGGAAAAGTAATGAGTCCAAGTTGCCCAATTCCTGCAGTAATAGTGTCCTTTATTCGCTGGTTTAGAATTGCAAAGTGTGTCTCTACAGTATGTAATTTTTTTACTTTGTACTCTTGGATTTGATTTCGGTTGGGGTTTACTGATGTTATTGTTAAGCGTTTATGGTGTTTGATATTCTTTTATTTATTTTTGGTGATTATGATTCATTATCAACCATCCTTTTATTGAATCTTATCTTTACTATTGAATTCTGGTGGGGGCAGGCCCTACAGATAAGTACAAAAGGATTTTCAAGAGAAGGGGAGGGAAGTCAAAAGTGTCATTTGAGGTGACTGGTGGGATGGCTCAAAACCCCAATCAAGTCGGAAACTCAACCAGTAGTTTTTTCTTCAAAAAAGAAGAAAAGAGAGTATGGGACTAATTCTTTGAAGAAAGAGGCTTGGGGCCTTGGGCATTTTTTTGGGGGGGAAGTGGGGAGGAGGAGAAATTTTCTAGAAGAGCTTTTGAGGAGTTTGAAAAGAGAAAGGAGAGGATGAAGAAAGTCATAGTAGGTGAAGGTGGAGAGATTTGGAATGAGGCTGGTGTAGGGCAGGAGGAAGCAGTGACTTAAAAGGCACGCCTAGGCGCACAGGCAAGGCGCATTTTAGGGTAGGCGCCTCGCCTAGGTCCTAGGCACAGCCCTTTCAAAAGGTGCATGCCTGGTGCACATTGCGCCTCAGCCCAAGCGTGCGCCTTTTGAAACTTTGACGCTTTTTTGCTTTTTTTGTGTCTAGCGGTTGGGCCAGGAGCTCCGCCCCTGGAGCCTGGACCCCCATGAGAACTAAGAATTTAAGACCTAACGTGGACTTGTTTGGGCTTGCCTCGAGAGGCGCAGTACAAAGGCGGCTTGTAGAATCAGGAATGTAATATTTTTACATCACATTAGCTACTTGAAGTAATGCAATTGAGAAAAAAAGAGATTGTGAGTTTTATATGCTTGAAAATGTTCTATATATTTGATTTTATTTTTAAATTCTCATTTGAATATGCTTTACATGTTATATTTATGTCCCCCAGACCCCCATGAGAACTAAGAATTTAAGACCTAACGTGGACTTGTTTGGGCTTGCCTCGAGGGGCGCAGTACAAAGGCGGCTCGTAGAATCAGAAATGTAATATGTTTTACATCACATTAGCTACTTGAAGTAATGCAATTGAGAAAAAAAGAGATTGTGGATTTTATATGCTTGAAAATGTTCTATATATTTGATTTTATTTTTAAATTCTCATTTGAATATGCTTTACATGTTATATTTATGTATTTTAATATTGGATAGTAGGTCTTTTAAAACATTTATTTTAAAAATAAAGCTTACATTTTTATTAATATTATGTTTAATAATTTTTTCATTTTTTGCATTTTTTGGATTTTTTTTATTTTTTAGCCTTTTTATTTTTGCGCCTTGCTTAAAAAGGCACACACCTCCCCTTGCGCCTCAGGCACAAATTGACCCCTACACCTTGCGCTTTTAAAACACTAGGAGGAACTATTCAATGGGGAGGATTAAGGGTGGTTTTTTTTATAGTAAAGGAAAATTTTCATTAAGAAAAGGAAAAAGTACAACTAGCAGACATAACAAACAAAGGAACTCCAAACATTCAGCTCAGACACTGATCTCCCAAAAGCCTCCAACTTTCGACACCACCCCTGAACCAAGGACATCCACCTGACTCTAGTAAAACAAAACAAAAGCATCACTATTTGTCCCCCTCGAGCATCTCCTCCTGCCCCTTATTAGCCTCGTCCCAGACCTCTCCTCCTTCCCCAACTGCATTCTTCTTTAAGCTCTCTTCCCTCCTTTTCCTTTCAAACTCCTCAAAGGCTTTTCTAGCCAACACCTCCCCACCTAAAAAGAACAGACCAAGCCTCTTTCCCACCTCAACATTTCTCTCAACAATTTTCTTGATAGCCAAACCTCCTTCCTTCTCCCCTTTTTCAACAGAGGTTCTTCCAACCAATTTCCATTCTTATCCCCATTTTTCTTCTCTTGACACAAATTGACCAAACTTGAATCTTCACTAAAGTGATCAAGAGAATCAACCCCAACTGAAACCTTTGATACCAACAATTTTGTCTTCCCCTCTTTTCTGGAATACATCTTGCCCCAATCAGGCCACATTTTAGATGAGAGAAAACTTTAGTGATGTGAACAATGTGCAAGTTGCTTGGGCTGCAAGTCTTTTTGGGAACCACCTCTTCGATAGCAGCCAACTCTCTTTCTTATACCTTCCTCCTACGACCCATATATACACCTAACTTACCAGCCACCACTTCCTTGAAAGAAGATAAATCCAAAGCCAACTTTTCTTGTGACAGAGTCCAAATTTCAGGAACAACAACTATATCTTATCCAGATCTGTCTCCGCTTTCTGGAACTCTCAGCTAACCACCATTAGTACACTCACTCATCTCCTCCTCACCCCTCCACCCTAGCTTCACCCCTTCTTCTTCCTCCTTAGAACCATTCACCATAGTCACCACCAAATCTGAAATGGCAACAAGAGAGGACACAACATTGGTCTTCTAAGAAACATCAACACCACTTACCTCTACATGCTCACCATTTTAGCATAGAGAGCCCCAAGAGGATGATCCAATAGAGATCCAAATCGATCAGGACTACTACATTCACAATCCTCAACCTTCCACTTTGCATCTCCATTATATTTAGTTATAATCCAAATCCAAAAGTCTTCATTTTCCCTTTGTCCCACAAAAGAGGTCAATCTGATCAAAACTCCCCTCAAACTGTGCTTTGGGCCCTTGGAAATAATGTGACTCCTAAAATGAACCGGTTAAAAGCACTCGCCTTTTTACAAATTCCCCTTTTAAATAGCTCCTCGCTTGAAACATCATTTGCCTTTGCACCCCGAGATGACCCTTTAGCTTTAGGAGCCGCGTGTTTTCCAACTCCTTTGCTCAAAACCTCCCTCTTATCCAACTGATTAAACATGTGTCCTACTTCTTTTTCCAAGTCCCCAAAGTTCACTGCCAATATATATGGGCACTTCTTTAAACCAGACTCAACAACCGAAAGACCCTCACTCGCTCCATGACTCTTCATCTCCCTCTAGTCTCTCTTACCCTCGGGGCCCGAAGCACCATTCTCACAATAAAAGACTTCACCTACAATTCCAAAAATTGACCTCGTCTTCAACCTCTGTGCTCCCCAAGCCAAGGCAACCTCTCGTCTTCCAAATTTGTTGGGGGGTTCTTTGAAGTTTGATTTGCTGTAGTTCTGTTGGGAGCTCTCTGGTTTGACGAATCAAGGGGTTGGAGCTTTGATCTTTGGGAGGTCTTGAATGTTCTTTGTGTTAGGTTAATTTCTTTTAGTTTTGGGGCTGTCATAGGGTTTTGTTGAAATGTAAGGTCTGCCATAGGTCTTTTAGTTCTTCCCTTAGGTGATATCTTATCACCTTCCTCTTGTACTTCCTTTTTTCTTTAAGAAATTCCTTTTTATTTTACTATAAAAAAAATAAAAGCTATCGAAAGCATTATGCATGATCACAAGAAAAAGACACTAACAATAATAATAGTCAACCAGCAACTCACCTTACACCATCATAACGCGATAAATTGGACGATGATTCAGATGAAGCTAGTATATAATATGCCGGCAACCCAAGAGAAAAAGAAGGCAATGATACCTGCAAATTATCACAAAGTAAAAGTTGTATAAATCAAAGGAAAAGGAAGGACATAAAATTCACCTTTGGAGAATGATCAGATTAAGCAAGCAAAAGCAGAATGGAATGGCTAGAGAAAACAAAACCTCTATCACAGTTGATCCTAATTCTTCCAAATGAGAAGCTGCAGCCTTGATTGATGATATAACTCCCATATCAACACCATCACCGAGAGTCTCACGGATCACCCCTACCCTCAGTCCCCTTAAAGGCTTGGATTCAAAAAGTTCCATGGATGTTAACTGAGATGAAAAATCAGGCACCACCTGAAAAAGTGAAAATCCATGAAAGTTGTGACCAAGAGAACTTGAAATTACAATGCATAAATATTATAATCCAACTCATTACATTCAAAATATTGAACTTTCAGACAAAAGGATCTAGAAATTTGTAAACAGGTTTTCTTCTTTTTCAGACAAAAGAATCTACAAAACTCCAACTCCTTAGTATCATATATCAGCTTCTTTTGTTCTCTTTTGTGCTACAAAGGAAACAAGATTTTGGCATGCGCACAAACAAACGAGAGAGAGAGAGAGAAGATATTGAGCTTACTACTGGTTAAAAGAAAATTAAACCATGGGGGAATTGACAGTAATCTTCCTAAAGAAATTATTAGACATACTCATAATGTGGGACAAAAGAACCTCACTCGCTTACTACTTGTAGCATCCAGTATATCATGACCGGAAATAGCATGAAGAAGAATCGCAGTATCAACCACAGATGAGCCAAAGCATCCAATAACGTCCAACGATGATGCATATGCCATTAGCCCAAATCTCGAAACACGTCCATATGTTGGTTTCATTCCCACAACTCCACAAAAAGATGCTGGCTGCCTAACACTTCCCCCAGTATCACTTCCCAAGGATACTACACACTGTCTCGCAGAAACAGCTGCAGCCGAGCCGCCAGACGAACCCCCAGGTACCCGGGATACATCCCAAGGATTTGCAGTCACCTAACAAGTGAACAAATATATACACCTCAAGATTTGGAAAATACATTGAAATTTGAACCCAACAATAAACACCTAAGTTTTGAGCTTAAATTAAAAGAAAATAGTAATACTTAAACAACCAAATGAATTCGGCTTTTAGTAATTAAACAAATTGAAAAATTGCTCTTTAACAGCTCAATTGATTTCTTTTCCCAATTGTAATGAATACTACAAACCCCAATTGCATCAGTAAAAGTCGAAAATAATAATAAATTAGAAGAAGCTCGAAGCCAACCTGAAAACCAGAACTTTCAGTGGTGCTCCCCATGCCAAATTCATCCAAATTTGTCTTTCCCACAATAATGGCTCCGCACTCCCGCAATTTTTTCACCGCCGTGGCATCAAAAGCCGGCCGATAATCCTCTAATATCCTCGAACCACCCGTCGAAGGCATGTCGACGGTGCAAATATTATCCTTAACGCCTACCAGCACCCCGGCCAACGGACCTAATTCCTCGTTCCTCTCGATCTTCTGGTCGATTGCTTGTGCGTCTCTCAATGCATTCTCTGAAACATGGAGAAAGCTTTGAATCTGTGGCTCAGTCTGCCGCAACCGATTCAAGTACTCCTCGGCGATGTCAACCGCCTTTTTCTGGTGAGAAAGAAGAGATTTTCGGATTGTGAGGATTTCAGAAGAGGGAGGAGTGGTTGAAGAAGCATGCGTCTGTGGCTCCATGACCGTCTCCGACGTGCGAACAGCTACGGAGCCGTGAAAGTGGCGGGATTTTGACGGGAGATGGAACTGAAATCGGCATCTTACGAAGAAGAGGCGGGGGTTTTGAACTGAAGAAAGCATTGAAGAGTCGTCGGGGAGACTAGAAAGTATTTTTCTATGCCGGAAATCTTGCCGTCGCCGGTGGTTCCCACGTTCACGGACGCCGACGTATACTGGGATGACCGGTGGGATGAGGGCTCGGTGTAGAGAAGGAAATGAGAGGGAGTTCGAATAAAATCCGTTGAAAGAAGTGGGTGAAATGTCATTTTGTGTCGAGTCCGGATGTCCTCCCCACATCTACCCACATATCATCGCAGTCACACATGGAGAACATCTCATCCTCTACATGCTAAAGTGTGTTGCGCATAGACGTAGGCAGATTCACAGGATGCAAACTCGAAAGCCGGAATGTTGCTAGTTGCTACAACCCTGCGGCTGCCGGGCTGAAAAAGAACGCGGACCCGGTAAACGGGTTACGGATCTGGACTCTGGGGCCCATAACTTGCCACCTGTTTGATGTTCCAAGAATCAGGACCGTCGATTGGATGTGTGAGTGTGACTACGAGAAGCTACTTCTTGCCGTTCATTTTAATACAGTAATATTGGAGGGTTGGAAGTTGGAACAGTTGGCACCTTTTCTATCATAGCTGATGTTGGGTCCAGCTGACCTTCTATGTTAGATAGATATCTGCTGATTGGCTTTTAGAATTTTAGGTTGAAAGTGGGACAGGTGGCAAATTAGGTGGGCTGGAGGAGCAGGACTTGATGATCCATCTCTTGGGTATGTGTCTCATCTTAACGTGCCTTGGGTGTTTTTTTGACAATCCTACGTTGTTCTCATTCTAACAAAAAGCATTGCTTGTAATTTTCGGAAACATTTAACCTTTGGTTAGATTTTGTATAACAAGGAGATTGAGGTTAGCAAAATGCCCTTGTTACCATTAAGGCACAACCATTCGTAGTTTAAAATTTCAACCTTTGCTTTGTTCTACATCTTTCACCAAGAAAGAAGATGGTCTCTCTAGTGAATTAGGAATTTTAGCTATTGTCATTGCGATCCTTAGCGGAGAGAGTTTTTGAAAAATGGAGCCTTCAGACAATAGATTCATTACATTCCTCTATAACTTGAGAACTTTTCTCTGCACAGAAGATGCTCAACATAGCAAACCCTATTGCTTGGTCGCTCCTCAAAGTTATGACTTCAAAATGAGGTCAATTTGCTTGTTAGAGTAGTTTAGATTGAGGAGCTGATCATATTGAAGATTATTAAACATTGCAAGGAGTTTCATCCTTCACTACTTATTGGGCAGCTTCTTGGTTTAGGTGTCCATAGTGTTCTAAAAGAATTTGCATCAGCACCCCACAAAGCGTGCCCCACAAAACATCCCAATCATGTATTGGAAATATCTCCCCATAATAAGTTGGGAGATGTTCCCAATGCACATTGAGATGCACATGTGAGGCGTATGTGGGTGCACTCTGTAGGGAGCCAAACTGTTTTGGCTTTCTAATTGGGGAGGAAAATAAGGAGATTAAAGCAAATCAACTTGAGATGATGAGGTGCTTGAAATAAGTTATTGTTGAATTGTTGATAATAGTACTATTAGATTGGATGGTATTAATCAACTGTGTTAGGATCTTTTGAGACAATGGACTTGATTGAAACATTATTTTACCAGGACAATATGATATGACTTCTTGATTCTCAACATTTGCATGCCTCTTTCGCTATTGTTCTTTCGGTCTTTTATGTGTTGAACATTAATAACAAGCATAATGCAAAACAAAGAAGGGAAAAGCACAGATCTGTACAACCACAAGAAATTCTGTAACAAATAGCTTATTGCTTTGAAGGACCCATTCATCTCTCCAAATAAATATTGGGCTTTAGGGAGATATTGACAGTGCATTGGATCATCTATAACAAAAGAAGAAAGTTGAAGTATGGTCTAATGGTGGTTTGCTCTTGTTGGGATACAAGAGACATTAAACATTCAAAGGACAAAAGGATTGAACATTACATGTTACTTGTGTTGACAATTCTATTTGTGGAAGGATGAAGTATGGTCTAATGGTTATGAAGGACATAATTTCTAGAGTAAAGAAAAAAAAAGAATTATAGGTGTAGTGTTTACATTATTTATGGTCCATCACTGACAAAAAATGAAATTTTAGCTCCTTTCATGGATCTTTAGCATAATAATAACTTAGCCAAGGAAGAAAAATTTGTTGTGGGTGGATCTCTTCAAGGAAATAACCATTAAGTTTATGAAACTTATGCCTTCATAACAGAATCGGAAGCAAGAGATCAATTTCCTAGTGTGATTGTTATTGGCCAATTCATTAATGAAGAATAATGTGTTTTCTAATTGAATATATGGATGATTAATCAAAGGAATGGAATAATTTCCATTTTTGCTACTGGAACCTTTTAGCAAGACCAATAGTGGGTATGGCTTCAAAAGAGCAGAAAATAAAACATGACATATAAAGCTACAGAAGAACCATTGTTGGACACAACCCCAAGTCTCTCGCATGAGAGTTAAGCATCCTTACCAACTAGCTAAAATCCATATTCCTTGTCAATGCACCGGAAGAGTAGTGGAAACCAAGATTTGGTTGCCTTCTTTGGTGGTCGAACTTTGGGCCTTTGGCTACCTTCTCCGGTCAAAAAAATTCAATGGGTGGGTTAACCCACCACAGTTATCTTGCTTGGCTGAAGTGAAATAAAGGCCTCATTTGTATCTTGGTAAATGACTTACATGGGTAAATGCACTTATTTGAGCAAGTGTTTCTTGAGAAACACCTCTCCGGATAAGATCACTTACTAATGTTTTTTTATTCTCCAAGTAAAAGTATAGAATGATTGATTTATCCAAAAAAGTGACATTATTGGGGGGATAATATTGTTCATCACATATTAGTGATTTTTAGCGTGCAGGGATAAGTAATTCATCGTCATGGCAACAAAAGTCGGTCAATAATCCTCTAATATCCTCAAACCACCGATCTAAGGCATGTCGACGGTGCAAATATTATCCTTATGCCTACCAGAACCCGGCCAACAGACCTAATTCCTCATTCCTCTCAATCTTCTAGTCTATTGCATGTGCGTCTCTCAATGCATTTTCTAAAATGTGGAGAAAGCTTTGAATCTACATCTCAGTCTGCTACAACCAATTCAAGTACTCCTCGGCAATTTCAACTACTTTTCTTTGGCAAGAAATAAGAGATTTTTGGATTGTGAGGATTTCAGAGGAGGGAGGGGTGGTTGAAGAAGCATGGCATTGTACGAAGAAGAGGCAGGGGTTTTGAACTGAAGAAAGCATTGAAGAGTGGAGGGAGTTTGTTATTTCTTCCATTGGTTTGTAATCCATGAAACTTGCTTCAGAAAAATAAAAACACCAATGCTGAATTCATATAGTGGAATAGTTGGAGTTTACATCCTGTGAACCCGTGGATTCACAAGACGTGTGAATTCGCCAATAAAAATTAATCACGTCTGCATTTTGACTCTATAGTAACATTAACGGACGTTCAAAAGCAACCTAGTTGAACCAGACACAAAAGCAAAAATACCCTTAAACCCGGATTTCATTCGAACTCCCTCTTATTTCATCTCCTCTGAACCAAACATTGTCATCAAGCATTCACTTCGAATAAGTTTGGACTGTTGTATTTCCAGTTACTCTGATGTGATCTCGTATTCTTTTTTTCTTCCTTTGAGAAGGTCGAGAGATGGAGTCCACTATAAAAGGTGAAGAAAGGTGCTAGAGGACGGAAAGTAAGTAGACCAAAGAAGAAATCAGTCTCTCGATCTTTGAAGGTTGACCTGTAGTTTCCTATTGGAAGGATCATAGGTGTCAATAATACACATGTCTGCCATATAACATGTGCATCATATGATAACATATATGAATGTCACATGGCATTTGAATGTATTAATGATATATGTGTGCCCTGCAGTAACATATATAAATGTCACATAACAATTAAATGTATTCAATGATAGATTTATGTCATTTTGGTGTTATTGGGTAGACATTTAGTCATCATGTCTAAACCATTATTTTTTAGTATAGATCTTTCTAACTATAATTATTTATCTTTAAGAACATTTCTAATCAAATGATACCTAACATCAATATGTTTTGACTTCAAATGAAAGCTTGGATTCTTAGCTAAGTGGATAATACTCTATCATAAAGAACAAAATATTCATCTTTCTTCACACCCAACTCTTCAAAGAATAGAGATAGCCATTATTCCATGATTGACAAAATTGTCACATAAGTAATCACCCAATATCATTTATTTATAAAAGAGTTGTCTATGAGGAAATTTTCTCTGTTTGCTTATTGTGTTTCAGCTTTCATGGTATTGGTTGGTCATGGGTGGTAGATTGCTAGTTTTTTTTTTTTCTTTTTTCCTCCAAAATTGGGGCATCATTGCAAGTTTAAACTTCTAGCGTATCATAATTTTGATTATGAAGGGTAGAATGTGATGTTGGCTTCCTACTTTTTCATTTTCTTACTTTTAGTGTAATAATTTTGAAGGTAATCGACAACTCTTGTTGCAATTAGGAGATTTAAATTCATATTTAACCTCCCATTTGTAGTGTTAGGTTCTAGCTTCAAATGTTGTGGCTGTTATAAGAGTGAAAAAAACACCAAAGGAGCAACCTGATTAGAACTTTTTGATAGTAGAGAGGAAGCACCAACTTCCTTCTTCATTTTTGGTGTGAAAAAATGGTAGATTTGTTAGTTGATATCATTTTCAAGCTCAAGAGTGGTTTGAGATGAATCGTCGGGACCCAAATGTTTACTAGGATTCAAGTTAGCATTTTGGCTGGAAGAAGGGTTTTAAAACTTGAGACTCCCTTGAGAGGAGTGCACTAAGATGGTTAAGGACCATTGTTTTATTGTGATTTTGCTATCGGTATTGGAAAATAGAGGTTGATGAAGCCTTTGGTTTCTAGATACTTAACCATGAAAAAGACTCTCTTGGCGATTTTTTAGCTTTATAAATAGAGCCACATGAACCCCCAATTCATCCATAAATTGAGTAGCAACTTAGTCCTAAGAGAAGGGCTTCCTCTATTTGGTATTGCATTTTAACAAAGGTAGAGGTGTCAATTGGACTGGATTTGGTCCAACCTGGTCTAGTCTAATGTGAGTCCACTTACAAATGGATTGGACTCAATCCAGTCTAAATTCAATACAAACCCAATCCATTAAAATGTAA